ATTTCTAGTAGTCAAAACCAATTTGAAGAACCATCACAAGAAAATCGCATTGTATATCACCAATTTGAGGAACCAAGGAAAGTGCATCATCTGAAGGGAATTGCATCGGACATCGAGGACTAAAGGAGCAAGCACTGGATAGGGGTCAAACTTGCTTGGAGGGGGAAGCACTGGACGGAGAAGTAGCCGCTGCCGCCAGGAGGGGGAGTCCCACCACCACTGTCGCCGGTGGGGAAAGGGAGGGGCATCTCAGCCACATCCACGGAAGGGGAGTGTGAGGATGCCACCGGAGGGGTCGATGGAGACACCGCCGGAGGGGAGGACGGAGAGACCACCGGCGGAGAGGGAGCGTCACCGGGTGGGAGGGGGCACCAGATCCAGACGCCGGTGGGGAAGAAGGGTTACTGGGGCCTCCATGCCCCCCATGGGGCACCGCCGCATGCAGGGCCCCTGATCCCGTCGACGCCATCACCGGAGGGAGGGACGGGGAGGGTGCCGCCGCCAGAATCTTTGCCCAGAAGAAGGGGCGCCTCCGCCTCTGGAGTTAAAGGCCCACCGCCGCCGCCGCCGGATGCAGGGGGGCCCTCGTCGGCGCCATTACCTGAGGGAGGGGAGGGTGCCGCCACCTGCCTCCCGTGCGTGAGAGGTCGAGGGAGGGGCCGGGTGCCGCCGACGCACTAGGGAGATCGAGATCACCCCGTCGCCCGTGAGGACGAGGATGCCGCCGCCGACTACCGTCTGATATTGGGAGGAGAGTCCTAAACTTTAAACTTTAGTCGTTGTCCCATCGGATGTTTGACACAGAGTATTAAATATAGACTAATTACGAAACTAATTACACAGTTTGCGACTAATTTGCGAGACGAATCTTTTAAGCCTAATTAGTCTACGATTTGACAATGTGGTGCTACAGTAAACATGTGCTAATAACGAATTAATTAGGTTTAATAAATTCATCTCGTGGAGTACTACGGATTCTGTAATTTGTTTTTTTATTAGTATCTGAACACTCCATGCGACACTCTCATATGACACCTCCTAAATTTTAGTCACGGGATCACACACCCCCTAAATTAGGGTTTGGGAGTTGGGAGGCATTTATATAGGGTAGTGTACCGTCAATTACTACTGCTGTGCTTTTATTTACGTTTGTGGGACTGACTAATACTACCAATCGCGTCTGGTTGGCGCATCCTCGCCGGAGCTAGGCGGAGCTCCATCGGCGCTCTCAATATTATTTAGAGCGCAGGGTCCTAGATAGCAAATATATATATAGGGAGAGTATATTCAGTAGCCAGCTATAAAATAAGTTATTCCGTAGCCACCTCCATTTACGATAATTTTATATACTAATTTACGATAATGTCAATACATATTTACAATAGTTGGGTTACTATAACACATGGAGATATTTACCATAACGTTATAGTAAACCACTTAGTATGGAGTTACTGTAATCTCGTAAATTAACATTGTAATTATCATAACTCAAAGTGGCTACATAATAAGTTATTTTGTAGTGTATATATATATATATAGGACGAGGCTAAAATGCACCTGGGTGCATTCTGTATAGCAAATGCACCCAGCCGCGAGACGCGTGGAGCGCGGCGAGCGCCCACACTCCTGCATGCAAACAACCAGCCAACCGTTCGCTCCTGCATGTAGGGAATCTTTTGTTGATTCCAAACGAAAAAATGTAATATCTTTTAAACCATATATCCAATTTTAGTTCTGTTTGAAGTAGGTTGTTGAAAAAAATATGCTTAACAAAACGAGATCCATGAAGGCTATATTTGATGAAGTTTTTTTTTCAAATACGTAATTGCAATATGTTGTACTATGAGTTGCAAACACTTATATAATGCAATTGCAACTTGGCTGTAGCGTATTTAGCACTGGTTGCAATGAAGGCTGTATTTGATGAAGTTTTTTTTTCAAATACGTAATTGCAATATGTTGTACTATGAGTTGCAAGCACTTCTACAACACAATTGCAACTTGGCTATAGCGTATTTAGCACTGGTTGCAATGAAGGCTGTAATTGATGAAGTTTTTTTTTTCAAATACGTAATTACAATATGTATTACTATGAGTTGCAAGCACTTCTACAACACAATTGTAACTTGACCGTAGCGTATTTAGCACTGGTTGCAACTCGTTACTACACAATTACTACTGGTTGCAACAAAGTTACTACCCGATTGCAAACCAATTACTACTGATTGCAACTAGTTACTACTCAATTACAACACAGTTGCTACTCAAGATATGATTGCAACTCAGAATTGCAACTTGACGTGATTATAGTGACCAGATGCATATAATACACAGTGTTATAACTAGTTGCAACTAGGTGGTAGACAGAGTTGCAATCGGTAGTACATTGATATGCAACTCGCTTAAAGGATAAAAAATATATTCATATTGGATCTAGTTTTGCTCAGAATATTTTTTTGAGTCGGATGCAACAAACGGTTTGTCAATCAGGGTTACGGTTTAGGAGAAAATTTGTTTCAAAGATTCAAACCAACAAAAAATTCTATGCATGCATGCATGTATTCGCTGGTTGCTCCAAGTTGGTGCGTCATACTTTGGGTGCATTCTATATCTGAGGATGCACCCAGTGTGTATTATAGCAAAAATATATATATATATATATATATATATATATATATATATATATATATATATATATATATATATGCAGCCCTCCCTTCCTTTTTAAGTGTCACCTAAATTTTTGTGCTAACTAGATTTATAGAAGATAATAGTAATATTTGTATCTCCAAATTAATATATTATAAAAAATATATTCAATCATATTTACTACGCATCATAAATATTAGTAGGTTTTGTATACATTTGGCCAAGTTAAATATGTTTTGACTCCTCGATACGAAAGAAAAATGACACTTAAAAAGGGATAAAGGAAGTAGGTGTTAGTGTTTAATAATAATAATAATAATAATAATAATAATAATAATAATAATAATAATAATAATAATAATAATAAAAATAAAAATAAATATCTACAACCCACGGCCTAGAACTAGTTTTGCATGTTTTGTCTTAACCTAATAGGTATATACATCTATGTAATAAATCTCTACCCATTTATCATTATGTTATCGATTATGGATCTCTATGTTTTATCATTTGTATCATAGTTTTTCCTTCGTACATAGTACCTTTGTGTATCTTCAACTCGTGCGATACCAACACTCCGACCTTTACAATATTGACTTTTGCTATTTATCTGTTACAAGTTTTTTGGTACTAAATCTATCATATTTCTATTCGTTTAATTGTGCTTTAGGATTTGTGCTATAGCTGTCTACAGTGTCGCATTTATAAAAAAAAATCTGATAGATTTGACCACATAAAATATATCGACAGTATACTATCGTAGGCCCTGCTCATCGGCCCCACTTGTCAGCAAGTCCTATATTTGGAGGTTTAGGAGAGAAGAATGAGAGCCTCTCATCTATTAGGGACTGAATAGGATCTCGGTTGGAGAGTTTTTCGTGCGTTGGAACTATTAAAATGGGATGAGGGCTCCACTAAAGTCATGATCGGAGTTGCTCTAATATCTTTATTTTAATTAGGCCTTCACCTTGCTTGATCTGTAGTTCGGACAAGGCAACCTCAAAATGGTTGTCCTAGCTTTTCTTATCGGTAACGATGCCCTCATGGTGTACATCCTTTTTTGGACGGCACCGACCCGCCTACCCCAGCACCCGTGCCTCGCGCCTCCCGCCGCGGCCGTGATCCATCTGTCAATCGTCCGTGGGCGACCTTGAGCTCCGCGCCAGCGTTGAGTTCCACGTCAACGAGCCTCCATTGCAGGGCAGCAAGTAGATGAGCGCATGTTGCAACCGTATGTTTCATGCATTTTAGATGTATGTTGCATATGTTTCATCTGGTGTTGCAAAAGTAGATTTGGTGTTGCATATGTTGCAACGGCCATACACGTATGCTGCAAGTGTATGTTTCAGCTGTTTCAAACGTATGTTGCAAGTGTTTTATCTATATGTTGCATATGTTGCACTGGATATACACGTATGTTGTAAGTGTATGTTTCAAATGTTTTATCTGTTTCAAACGTATGTTGCAAGTGTTTTATCTGGATGTTGCATATGTTGCAATTGACATACACATATGTTGCAAGTGTATGTTTGTAATTTTATCTATTTCGAACGTATGTTGTAGCAAATGATTTATGTTGCAAGTGTTGCATGGTGCGGGAAGTGGGAGCAGGCGGAGGTGGTCCCCTCGGACGCAGCGGTACCCGTGTTTGCAAGCAGACACGACGGCTCCACATGCATGCATACCGTAGCAGCAGGCGGGGCCAGGCCGACAGGCACCACAATAGCAGCGCGCCGCGACAACAACAGCAGTGTGCGGGTGGGCGGGCAGCAGGCGCGGGCATCCGTTCGGACGCCGCGTGTGGACGTCTCGGCGTTAGGGCCTGTTTAGATCCCTTCCAGTTTGAAAAATGGACATTGTAGCACTTTCGTTTGTATTTGGCAAAAATTATCCAATTATGGACTATTTAGCTTTAAAAGATTCGTCTCGCCAATTACGGGCAAATTGTGCAATTAGTTATTCTTTTTTCCTACATTTAATGCTCCATGCATGTGCCACAAGATTCGATGTGACGGAGAATCTTGAGAAATTTTGGATTTTGGGTGGAATCTAAACAGGGCCTTAGTCTTTCCCTTTTCTAAATCTATAGAAGCTATATACATGTCATAATCTAAGAAGAAGAAACCGTACATATTGCATCGGTCAAAACCAAATAAACACTGCTATTTTCTCCTCATATAAAGAACAGGTTCGTCAAGAAATAATCAAATCAGCAATAACACATATCTCCATTTGTTCGAGTGATCACAAGAAGCAACGATCGACCAACAAACATGAAAGCAACAATCCAAACACCCCCACCAAAGTTCAAACCAGACACCACCACTCGGCCTTCCCTCCAAAAATTCAAATCAGCTCGCCCGGGGGCTGTCCATGACGGTCTCGAACGCCCCCACCAGCGCCTTCACCTTGCTTTTCCGCTTCTCCATCAGCTTGCTCTTGGCCTCCTCGATCACGTCGTTGCTCCGCGCCACCTCCTTCTTCTTAGGCTGCTCCTCCTCCGACCGCTTCTCCATGGCCGTCTTCACCTTGCGCCCCTTGAACGCCAGCTCCGACGCCGCCGCCGACCCCTCGGGGATCGTCGGGCCCGCCGGCGTCGTCGGCGCCGACGCGCTCTGCTGTGGCGTCTCCATCACCTCCTTCCCCTTGCTGATGGCTTCTGCCACCGGCGTCACGGGCTCCGAAGCGCTAACCTGTTTAGGCACTGCCTCTACGTCGTCGTCGTCGTCGTCGTTGTTGGCCCCTTCTCTCAGCGGCGTCGTCGGAGCTGACGCGCTCGATCCGGCAGCCGCTTTTGATTCGTCGGCCACCTCCTCGTTCTTCTGCAAAGGCGCAGGGTCAGCTGCTTCCTTTGCTTCTTCCGCGGTCACGCTCGTTTCCTCCTTGGGTTCTTCAGAGAGCACGCCGGTTTCTTGTTTTGGTTCCTCAGAGATCGCGTTCGCCTCAGAGTTCTCAGTCACCTCTGCTTGCTGGCTCTCATCGACGACCTTCTCTTCCACCGTGCTGGTTGCCATTGCCAGCTCGTCTTCTCCCTCAGGTGTTGCCGCCTCCTTAGCCGCGGCTTCTTCTACAACGACGGCCGGCGAGCCATCGTCCGTGTTCTTCTGGGCCTCCGTTTCTGTCTGCATAGCCTCGCTGCTCTGCGGCCTCTCTTCTTGCAGCTCCTGCTTCTCCGCCTTCACCTGCTCAGCCTCCACCTGTATGATCTTCTCCTCCACGGCGACGTCCTCCTCCTCCGCTTTTCCCTTCGGCTGTCCTGCGCCGACCTGCTCCTCTTGATACCTCACCGGCACGGTCGTGATGTCAGTACTGGCAGCCTCCTGCGACGTCGCGACGTCCTGTTCATTCTGGTCAGCATCTTCGGACTCCAACAGGACTGGCTCCTCTACTTCCACGGGAGTCACGGCAGGCGACGGCTCGGCGGGCGTCTCCGGCTGCTGGTGCTGCTCCTCGACGGGCTGTGCTCTCGCCGTCTGGCCTTTCGCCCTTGCGGCGGCGGAAGCACCAGCGCCGCCCTTGCTGCCGGACGCCGAGGCCGCCGCGGCCTCCTTGCTCTTCTTGCTGCGGGACCTGCTGCTGGCTTTGAACGCGTTGGACGCCCTCTGCATCAGCTGCCTCGGCGACACCGCGGCCCACCGCGACGTGGAAGTCGACGCCGGCGCCGGCGCTTTGGCCTTGGCCTTGTCCTTGGGCGTGATCGGCCGCGTCGCGCCCACAGGCTGCGCCGGGGCCTTGTCCTTCTTGGGCGTGATCGGCCGCGGCGCGCCCACAGGCTGCGCCAGGGCCTTGTCCTTGGGCGTGATCGGCCGCGACGCGCCCACCGGCTGTGCCGGGGCCTTGTGGGCAGACCGCCTCGCCGTGGCGGCAGTGCCCTTGGAGCCGCCGGCGGCGGAGGCTGAGGAGGAGGAGGAGGGGGAGGGCGACGCCAGCGAGGAAGACGACGAGGAGCTGTGCATCGACGAGCTCACGGTGGGGCGGAGGAAGGACGGCACCGGCTTGTCGGACGCCACCGCCGCCGCGGAGGACGGGCGCGACGGGTCGGAGCTGCGCGGGCTCGACGGGGGCCAGCCGGTCCCGGACCCGGTCCCGCTCTTGCTTCTTGGGCGCGCGCCGTCGCTCGACCGCAGCGACGGCCGCGTGGCCATGGGCGGCTTCCGCTGCATCTCAACACAGAGCAGTGAGATTTGTCAATTGTCTTGCCGGTACTACTGCAAGGCAGAATCAGCCGTGATTTGGAAGATTTGTATTTTTCTCAGCTCCGATTTGTATGTGGTTGACCTTGAAATGTTTAGACCATGTTTGCATTTTTGTGTATTTTCTCTCTTCTCTGATGTCTGTGACAAACACTCTTGCCACGTTGTGGTGACAATTGATGTTTTGTCTAATAAAAAAAACTATTTTGATTTCATTCCCATTTGTACTACAACACGGTCAAAACATTCCACTCAAATGCAAATATTTTTTTGACTAATGGTGCTATATATGTTTATGTCAAACAAAGCAGAACAAGGCAGTCCAATTCTTCTTTTATGGAGTAGTTTTCTCACCAAAAAAAAAAAGATCGTCTTCTATAGTTTTCTGCATCATGACAATGCAGGGGATTGTTTCAGTTATGTCAGCAAAAATAAAACCTAAAGGGGGAGCAAAAGAAATTGATGAATGAATCTAACGAAAAGCTAGACGCCCAAATCACATAACATTTAGCAACGCATCAAAGATGAATCAAGGTCTATTCTCCATGGAACTAGATGCCTGGACGACGACAGCAACGTACCTGGAACCTAATGCGGCGAATTCATGGCTACTTTTTCAACCACAGGAACAATGAATAGGAATAGCATATCACGGTCTTGTTTGCGTGTCTCAAAACCAAGAGGGGTGGAGAAACCGTCGTACCTTTGCAAGCAGGAAATGGCCAGGAATGGCGTGTTGTGGCGCAGTGGGGAGGGAGGGAGGAGGGGAGGGTGGAAGACGAAGAAGGCAGCAGCAAGATGAGAAAAAGCCGGGCAACAGAAGAGCCCCATGTTTGCAAACAGAACCTGTCAAATAGTTGGCAATTGGCATGGCAGCTGTGAGGGCCGGTTACTAGTTGACACCTGGTGAAGGATCCATCTGTCATGGGGGTCGGTCGCTCTCCGTTTGGCTATTTTTACACCGGTCAGACCTGTTCTTGGTTGATCCAAAATTAACTAAAATAAACTAACATCATGCCATGTAATAATGACTATATATTAATATTATATGTGGGGTAATGAACTGGTAAAATAGGTAACCTGGAAAACATTATTGGTTACCTATTTGTATCCTTATTAGTTGTGATGTTTTAAACATATTTATTCCTTTAATTGAAAAAATTGCTAAAAAACGCGTGCTTTCTGGACTACAGTAAACACATGCCATTTGAGTTGAGGCCGAATTTGATGATCCAAGGATCAAGTTAGCTGGAAATTCTGATGAGCAAAGACCAGTCTGTTTAGCATTAAAATTTGGACCAAGTTGCCAAATTCTGGTTGAATCAAAACTTCGGCTCCCATGGCCATGGAGATCCAACCAGTAGGTTTCGTTAGGATGTAAAGTATTCTTGAAGTTTAAGAAAAACACTATAGCTTTGGAAAATACTTTGGTTTTGTATAGCACTATGAAATATCTGGATGCAAGGAGTTTATAGCGTTGAAAACCATAGTATCGCTAAAATCATAGTGTTTTTAGAGTTTTATTAAAACTCCACTCTAAAACTTTTTTTTCTTATACCAGGACTTTTTTGTCTATGGATTCTTTTTAAAAAAACTATTAGCAGGAGATATATCAAACCTATATTAATAGAGAAAGAGTTTCAAAAATACCCATTACAAAATTGTCTATGGATTCTAAAACTGCAGTTTGTTCATTTTTAAAAAACTACCAGTATAGCATGGTTTCTTGATCGGGATTACTGGCGTCCGGACGTCCAGTGGGATAGGATTACGTTGTATTGAATGGGCCAGCAGAATGGTCCATCAGAAACGCGCCACACTCCCACCGTATCACTGCAGTCCTTCCCCGTTCGCCTCGTCCCGCCCTGCACTTGCCGCCTTCCCCCTGACCCCCACCTCTCTCTCCGCGCGGGCGGGACCTGGGAGCCGGGACAAGGACGAGCACGCCCCGTCCGCAGGACCCTAGCGTGCCACACGCCCCATATGCCAGCCCTCGGCTCGTCGCACGCCCTTCCCATGGTGCTCGGGCTGTGCCCCAATAACTCTCTAAACATACCTCTAGAAACACAAAACACTTGCAACATGAAATATTTAAATGCAGCATATGTTTAAAGTAGATGAAACATTTTGATCATACACTTGCAACATGTGTGTGAAACATATGCAACACCTAGATAAAATACTTGCAACTTGTAACATGAAAACACTTATTGCAACATAAGACTGAAACACCTGAAATATTTCGAACATACTCTTGCAACATGTGTGTGAAACATATGCAACACCTAGATAAAGCACTTGCAACTTGTAATATGAAAACACTTATTGCAACATAAGACTGAAACAGCTGAAACATTTCAAACATACTCTTGCAACATATGTGTGAAACATATGCAACATCCAGATAAAAAATGCTTGCAACATACGTCTGAAATAGATGAAACATTTTGAACAAACGCTTGCAACATGCCTCTAAAAAAAATTGCAAAATGCCTCTGGAACACTTTGCAACATATGCAACATCCTGATCTATTTATGCAACATTCATATGAAACACTTGTAACATACCTCTGAAACATCTGAAACACTTGAAACATACGCTTGCAACATGTCAGACGCGACACTCTAGTGGGAGGCGGCCACCATGTCGAGCGCGTTGAGGAACTCATAACCGCCTCGATGGGCAGATCGGAGCTGGGAGGTGGCGGAGCGAAGAGCACCACGGGCTTGGCTGCCGCGAGCTTCTTCCGTTGGGGGTACCGAGGCGCGCGGAGCCTCGATGCGAGCGTGAAGTACGACACGACCGTGACGGCCTCACGGTCTACGGCCGCAGGAGTAGGTGACGAGGAGGACGCCGGCGCCGGCTCCAGCGATGAAGGCAGGGGCGAGCGGTAGGCACGACTCCAGTGGCGCAACATGGCGTTGCAGAGGCGAGCGAGGGCCCCGGGGCGGAGGAAGCGGAGGTGGTCGCTGCTGGAGAAGGCGAGAGGCAGGCGAGTGGTAGGGAACGCTGCAACGGCCGTGCTAGTTGGGAATGTCGTGTGTGACACCTGCACTGTAGCATCCAGCATGGTGAGCCCCCTTCAACGGTTTTTACAGGTTCTAGGCTCAACATGGGCCGGTTGGGCCAGTATCATTGCGCGCGACAAAACAGGCCCCGCCACTCGTTGGGGGTGGGTCGTATGTAGATAGCCTTTGTTCGCACTATCTCTCTCTCTCTCTCTTAACTGGGCCTCCTTCTTGGCAGGCCGCCCAACCGGACCAACTTAACTGCCACACGATTCCAGTTCAGACTTCAGAGTTCAATCAGGAAGCAAAGAAAACCGGAGGACTCGAGGACCGCACGTACGCAGCCACGCACGCGCAGTCGTTGACTCCACCCACACCCAATCATGCATGCACGGTGTCCGGCGACGCGGCGCGATCCCCGTACCCGCAAGCTGTGTACGCCTGCTTTTGATCTGGCAGGACGCAGGCAAGAGGCAGCCGAAAGGAAAGACGCACGGCACGCACTACTGGACTCCAGCCGGGTGGCCGCCGTGGCTACCCACCGGCAAGTACGACGACTCCATCAAGCACCGCTGCCTGCTCTGCTCTGCCTCTGGGTCCATGCATTGCCACCGGACGGACGATACGATAAGATCATACGATACGCCGTGACGCCGTCGTCGCCGCGTGGGCGCGCGCCGAGCATGCACCAGCTGATTAGCCGCGACCTGCCGCAAAGACTCGACCGCACCACCGCACGCGACCCGGCAGGCAGCACAGCACAGCACACGCGTTCCGCCTCGGTGGTGGCCTTTAGCCTTGGTTGGCACATGCGTCGCGCGTTTCCACTCGGCACCGCCGGCACGCGCGCGGCCGCGCCCCATTGCCACGTCCAGCACCGGCACCGTCCTGCGAGATTGGTAGTCTGGTCCCCTGATGACATGCCAGGTAGGGCCCCTATAATTTCTAATCTGTCTGGCCGGTATAGTTTGTTGCCACGTCCGACGTCCGAGTCTCCGAGCTCGAAGCCTCGAACGCATCGGCAGGCGTGTCCGCCATCGCCGGCCGCGACAGCACTTGAGCAAACACACCCTGGATCTGCTTATCAAAATCATACATTCAAAAATCAAATCAGAGGGCTTTTTAGGTAAGTAAGACGAACCATAAAACTCGTAGAGTCGTAGACTTTATTGATCAGGATCGTACAATCAGACCCCTTAGTTAAAGATCATAAAAACGCAAGATTACATGCTAAAATTGCAGATTTTTACAACTACTGTATGCCTGAAACCGGACGCGTTCTGATGTCAAGCGCAAAAGCCATTTGCATCATTCAGCTCGAAGCAAAGTCGCCGTCCCCTTCCCAGGCCAGGAGCCCAGGACCCTTGCGGTTTCCATTGAATATTCGACTCGACACCAGCTAATGGCTTGATAGTTCGGCTAAGCAGCGAGCGAGGGTTTGGTTACATTAGTGGCACATATGCCGTTACATGATTGGCTTCCAACCAACGGACCGGACGCCAGGTGCCGATCCACACGCTCATCATCGACATCATGCTCGTCTAGTGGCCTCGCCTGAGTCGCCTCAATCTCTGCCGTGTAAAGAAACGACTGTGCCACTGCCATCTCCCTCCCTTATCTGCACTTCATCAGAGAGGTTTTGCAACTGCCCAATCTTGCACGGCATGTCAAAAACCACCTGGAATTTTGCTGAAACTTGGAGAACCGGTCGACATCCGGGAGTGGATGTCGAACCGAAAGAGATAATGCAAGACTGTAGCATAGCTTTCCTGGCAGGGAAGGATCGGACATCGGAGGGGGCGGGGGGTCCAATGCGCCCAATTCCTTGCAAAAGCTGGTGTGCAGCTGGTTCTTCTGTTTGAGATGAGAAGCGAAGCAATCATGGTTCATGATCAAAGGCCAAAGGCAACGGACCAAGCACTAGATGCCCGCCTTTCGCCAAAGGAAGGCACAAGTGCGCTAAGGCGCAAAAGGCCACAGGATATGACAAGGGCGGGAGGCAAGGCGACAGGTAACTTTCTTTGGCGCCGAAGGCGTAGGATTTCTCAGAATTCGAACAAAATCTCCAGTCACGAACGCCCGAGATTAAATAGGGACATCCCGAAAGAGAACCTAGTGTTAAATGTTAGGGTACATCAAGGATGTTGCAGCCACTAACTATTATGCATAAAGTTTCGAAAAAAAAACTATGCAAAACACAGTGCATGCCATCATCCGGCACCCGGTTTAGTTGCCGGGCATTATTTCTCTACCTTTCTTTGTCTCCCAATAAATAATATATTGATTGATAATGCTCCCACGCGGGCTTCGGTACATCCGGACGCCACGCGCAACACTTACCCTCGCCGCTTCCGCCGGTGCTGCTCGCTCCCGCCTACGACGCGCGCCTCACCCACGACAGTTGCTCCCTCCCGTCACTCGCCCCGCTCGTCGTGCCCCAAATCTACGTGGATTCGACCCTCGCATTGTTAGATAATCCCGTGCATGATCTTGCATAGTCATTTATGTAATTAAGTAGTGCATGTTTACTTCCTGAACTATAGCTAGCTGCATGTGTGATGAGAGGTGTAGAAGCCGTAACGTCTTTGTGTCCACGGTGCGGCTAGGATTTGGTCACCGCCATGTTGTGTAATGTAAACGCTCTCGCGCTTTTAGGCGGGCACGGCATGGTGGAGCGCGCATGGCGGGGAATCGTGGGTCTCGGACCTTGTATACACCATGAATAAAAGGCAACAAAGAAAATCAGAAAAGCTGCAACGTTTGGCAGCGCCATTCTCTCGCGTTCAGTTGAGATCCACCGAGTTCGCGTGCGTGAGTGAGTGAGCGACGTCGTGCGCGTGATCGCCGTCGTTGCCGATCACCGTCGAGCTGCAGATTCCGGCAGCCGGCGCCAACATCTGGCATCAGAGCCACGTTGTATGTTCTACGACGGCTCGGTGAGTCCACCGCGCCAACCACCTCGCAAGAAGCTCGTCGTTCCTCGGAGATCGCCGCAGGCCACTATGGGCGGCGACGGATCGTCCTCAAGCACCGGCGACCGCGTTCGGGAGAGTTCACTCATGTGGCCAATGTTGACCCGCTCCAACTACTCGGAGTGGGCCATGCTCATGCAGTGTAACTATGAAACGCTCGAGATCTGGGAGACGATCGAGCCCGGCGGCGAAGGCGTGAAGCGAGCTCAAGATCGGCAGGCCATGGGAGGTCTTCTCCGGTCCGTACCCAAGGAGATGTGGGCGCGCTTTGGAGCCAAGAAAACGGTGAAGGAGGCGCGGGCGGCGGTGAAAAGCATGAGGTTGGGTCTTGATAGGGTGAAAGAAGCATGCCCAAAGGTCTCGCTTGTGGAGTTCGAGAACATCGCGTTTAAAGACGGTGAGATGGTCGACGACTTCGCGCTGCGCATCAATGCGCTCGCGGAGGAACTGCGTGGGCTCGGGGAGTCCATCGATGACGCTCGTGTCGTGAAGAAGATGTTGCGAGTTCTCCAAGCGCTATGCCCAAATTGCGGTGTCCATCGAGATATCTGCTGGATGTCAAGACCGTCGATTGAAGATCCGTGGGGGCGTCGAAAGGCGGCTGAGGACCGGTTCGAGGTCGACTCCGTCACGGAGCGAACCGGGCGTCTCATGTTGTCAGAGGAGGAGTGGTTGTCCAAGTACCGTCACCGTCTAATTCTAGAGTCGTCTTCCTCTGGTGGAGGAGAGAAGCAAGGCGGGTACAACCCCGCCAAGCAGAAGGGCGGTGGGCGCGGTGAGAAGGAGCAGTCTGAAGGCGACATCGGAGGGTACACCACGCACCGCAAGGGAAGGTGAAATCGTGGAATTTACGGCCACCGGAAACAGGATCGTAAAAGGCCTCCCAAGAAGGAACGTAAAGAAGAAGCCCACCATGTGCAAAGCGGATCATGATCATCACCAAAGATTGATGCGGCAACGGTGAACTCCGTGCACGTTGAGAGGAGGACACTGCTTTGCACCGCTGCGTCATTGTCGAGCACGTGGGATCAAGTTGTTCATCTCAATGAGAAGAAGGTGTTCCCAGCTGACCGAGATGAAAGCAAGGATGTTTGGGTCCTTGATACGGGGGCCAGTAATCACATGACGGGGTGCAGAGAGGTGCTGTCATCGCTCGACACGTCTGTGCGAGGCACGGTGCGTTTTGGGGATGGATCACTCGTTGAGATCGTTGGCATCGGCTCTGTTGTGTTTCGAGACCAAAGAAAAGGGCACAAGGTACTCATGAAGTCTATCTTATCCCTAAATTAAAGAGTAATATTGTGAGTTTAGGCCAATTGGAAGAGAGTGGTTTCAAAATTGTGATTGAGAATGGGTTCTGTAATGTGTTTGATGCTGAGCGCTCATTGCTGGCAAAAGCACCTCGGGTCAAGAACCGCTCAGAGATTCTGAAGCCGCATCTCTCAAACTCGTCATTTAGTTGCAAAAACAGATGAAAAGGCCTGGCTCTGGCATGCTCGTTATGGACATCTCAATTTCCGAGCGATCCGAGAACTTGGAGCCAAAGAGATGGTCGAGGGATTACCGTTGATTGACCGGGTGGAAGAAGTCTGTGATGGTTGTGCACTTGGAAAGCAGTGTCGACACCCGTTTCCTCAGGTGGCCAATTACAGAGCCAACAGCCCATTAGATCTGATCCATGCTGATCTATGTGGCCAGATCAAGCCAAAGACACTGGGGGGTAAGAGTTATTTTTTGCTTTTGGTTGATGATTATAGCCGTTATATGTGGGTGGAGTTTCTGACAACAAAAGATGAGGCCTTCAAGTGTTTTAAGAAGGTGAAGGTTTTGGCAGAAACTGAAGGAAGATGCAGGCTTCGAGCTTTTCGCAGTGATCGTGGTGGAGAGTTTAATTCCATCGAATTCAAGGAGTACTGTGATGAGAATGGAGTAAAGCATTTCACCACCACACCGTATACACCACAGCAAAACGATGTTGTGGAACGCCGAAATCGTACAGTGGTGGAGATGGCTAGGTGTCTGCTAAAGAGCAAGAAAGTGCCTGGAGAGTTTTGGGGAGAAGCAGTCCACACTGCAGTGTATCTGTTGAACCGTGCCCCGACGAGGAGCCTCCAAGGCAGGACACCCTATGAAGCGTGGTACAACAAGAAGCCTAAGGTTCATCATCTTCGAACATTTGGCTGTGTGGCCCATGTCAAGAAGGTTGGCCCTGGAATTTCCAAACTTTCAGACAGGTCAACAATGATGGTGTTCATAGGCTATGAAACTGGGACAAAGGGTTACAGATTCTATGAACCTGTGACAAAGAAACTCCACATATCTCGAGATGTGATGTTTGAAGAAAATCGAGCTTGGAAGTGGAGTGAAGAATCCCAGAGAACCAATTTGTCCCTGCGTTTGAAGTGGAGCATTTCACTATTGTTTGGACAGGGGGAGCGAATGAAGGTTCAGTTCGAGACTCAAGATTCGAGAGAACCCGTCTGTTCAGATGCAAACATCACCCTCCTGCAGTCGATTGGTTCGGTGGGTCTGGGTCAGTGATACACCAACTCAAGCAACACCTCCGGAAGCCCAAATTTGGACAAGGAATAGAATTTGCATCACCACCAACAGGAGAATCAGTGAACTCAGAGGGCATACCAATGAGATTTAGAACACTGGAGAATATAAATGACACTACTGAAGAGATAACTGATTTTGAGTACAGTGGGATGTGTTGTCTAGCAGGAGAAGAACCAAACGGAGTAGATGAGGCCTTGAGTGAACAAAGTCTTTGGAGGGAAGCAATGGGCTGCAGAAATAGAATCAATTCAGTCCAACAAAAACAGGAGCTAGCAGACTTACTGCAGGTCATCGTGCTATTGGCCTTAAGTGGGTGTTCAAGGTTAAGAAAGATCCAGCAGGTAATGTGATCAAGCACAAGGCCAGATTAGTGGCCAAAGGCTATGCTCAGCGTGAGGGGTGGACTTTGAAGAGGTGTTCGCGCCAGTGGCTCGTATAGAAACAGTGAGACCTGTTGTTAGCACTGGCAAGCAAGAAGTGGTTGGAAGGTGCACCACATGGATGTCAAATCAGCATTTCTAAATGGAGACTTGGTTGAGGAGGTGTATGTACAACAACCTCCGTGCTTTTTGTTGTAGAGAAGGGAGTGGAAAGGTACTCGGCTGAAAAAGGCTTTGTATGGGCTGCGTCAAGCACCCGTGCTTGGAATGAAAGACTTGATAAGGAGCTTGTGAAGCTTGGCTTTGTCGGAAACACTCTAGAGCATGCATTATCTGGTAAGAGTGAGTATAAGGGCAATTATTTGTTAGTGGGTGTATATGTGGATGATCTAATCATCACAAGGCCAAGTAAGGAGAGCATTGATCATTCAAGAAACAAATGATGGAAAGCTTGAAGATGAGTGACCTAGGTGTGCTCTCTCATATTACCTAGGAATTCTGTAGTCGGAAGGAGAGGGAAACAACTTTGTGTCGGAGTTCTTATGCTCTGAAAATTTTAGAGCAAGCAGGAATGGAAGGCTGCAATTCCTGGCATGTCCCGATGGAGAACAAGTTGAAGCTGAGCAAAGAAGATAAATCCCCTCCAGTTGATGCAACAAAGTATAGGAGTGTGATTGGCGACTTGAGATATCTTGTGAACACAAGACCAGATATTGCTTATTCAAGAGGCATTGTCAAGAGACACATGGAGAATCCAAGGGCGAGTCATTTGGGCAGTGTGAAGCGAGATACTACTGAGTACATTCTTTGGAACACTAAGTTATGGAGTAAGATACACAAGATCAGGAATCTCTAAACCCATCTGCTTGGTTTTTGATGATAGTGACTTGGTGGCGACATAGATGATGAAAGAGTACCGGTGGCTCAAGATTCTTCATTGGCATGAATCACGGTTACATGGGTGTCATAGAAACAGAGGGTAGTTGCTCTTTCATCCCTGTGAGGTGAGTATATTGCAAGTGCTAATGCAGCGTGTCAAGGCATTTGGCTCGATCGTCTGCATTGAGTGAACTGCGCTCGGTATTCAAGCTCCAAAAGTCGAGACTCTAGTTGACAACAAGTCCGCCATAGCTCGAGTAAAACCCAGTTCATCATGAACGGAGTAAACACATAGACACAAGATACCACTTTGTGAGAGAGTGTGTTGACAATGGCAGCATTGACATTGATCATGTGAGCACCTTGCAGAACCAATTGGCGGAACATCCCTGACGAAGGCACTTGGCAAAGTCAGGTTCATTGAGCTACGGCGGCGGTGGGAGTAGTTGATGTGCAGCGGGATTAGGGGTGATATGTTAGATAATCCCGTGCATGATCTTGCATAGTCATTTATGTAATTAAGTAGTGCATGTTTACTTCTGAACTATAGCTAGCTGCATGTGTGATGAGAGAGGTGTAGAAGCGAAATCGTCTTTGTGTCCACGGTGCGGCCGAGATTTGGTCACCGCCATGTTTGTGTCTGAAAACGCTCTCGCGCTTTAGGCGGGCACGCAGACGGTGGCGCGCATGGCGGGGGATCGTGGGTCTCGGACCTTGTATACACCATGAATAAAAGGCAACAAAGAAAACCGGAAAAGTCGCAACGTTTGGCGGCGCCATTCTCTCGCGTTCGGTTGAGATCCACCGAGTTCGCGTGCGTGAGTGAGTGAGCGACGTCGTGCGCGTGATCGCCGTCGTTGCCGATCACCGTCGAGCTGCAGATTCCGGCAGCCGGCGCCAACACGCATCGCGCAGCCCGCTCGTCGCACGGCACGCCCGCCGTGGATATCCCTCGTCGCGCCCCCATCCTGCGCGTGCTGCCTCTGCTCTCCCCATCTCTCGCTCTCTATCTCGCATCCGCTGGTAGTAGAGCGCCTCCCCGGCCTCTTCCCCAACCCCAACGCCGCCGAGATGCCTTGCCGCCACCCTTTTGTCGATGGTCATCTGGCGCGCGCCAGACCAGGCGCCTGGGTAGTCCCGGCGAGCTAAGGGCACCCACGCGTGCATGAGATGCTGGTGGTGGTCGCTCGCCGCTGACCCCACCCCGACGGCTAGATCGACTGGGTCAGTCCCCCTCCCCTATGTTGCAAATGCATGTTTAAGTGTTTCAAACGTTTCAAAGGTACGTTGTAATTGTTTCCTATGGATGTTGCAAAAGTAGATTGATGATGTTATTTGCATATGCTGGAAGTGTTTCAGAGACACGTTGCAAGTGTTTGTTCAAAATGTTTAATTTGTTTCAGACGTATGTTGCAAGCGTTATGATATGAGCGTTGCATATGTTTTCCATTGTAAAGTATGTTCCAAATATTTCAGTTGTTTCAATCTTATGTTGCGGTAAGTGTTTTCATGTTGCAAGTTGCAAGTTTTTAATCTGGATGTTGCATATATTTCACAACTATGTTGCATGTGTATGTTCTAAATATTTTATCTCCTTCAGACGTATGTGCATTCAAGTGTTTCATGTTGCAAATGAAGGGATGGGGCGCGGTGAGCCAGGAGGGGGGGGAGGGCACGTGGCGCCCCAGGGATGGGGCGGGCTGGGGGCCGGCACACGCTGTGCTTGTGGTCGGGCGCGCTGTGGGAAGGCTGGGTGAGTCGCTCGTATGGATGGGCTCATGTGGTTCGTATCTTACATGTGGGCGCTGCTTCCGAACACTACTGCCTGATTTTTTTTATTTAACACGTACGGTGTGTCCGAATAAACGCTGCAAGAGAACAAACAAGTGCACGGGCGTACAGCAGACACGCATGGTGGAACTCCCCCGTTTGGCGCCGTCCGTTACTACAAAGTGGATCGATACACTTTTGTCAGGCTGTATGTTTGTTTGCAATAGATACTTGTTGAGAATTAAG